AACCACATTGTAACTATTTGCAACGTAAAAATGTCTTATTTTTGTATTGATTCCATGAATACAATATTTCTCTACAATCATATTGTAATGACTGACAATATAAGAATATAAATATAATGCCTTATTTTGTGATTGATTTGGTGAATAGAACCGTTTTAACATCACCGCATATGATCAATATATTCCAGCTAAACTATTTTGTCCAACAATGAGGCCAGGTACTGTTGCTTCACAGTGTTTATATATTAGTAAAAAAAAATATGACATGCGGAATTATATTTGGCTGACAAGGTATGATACATGGATCACTAAGAAGGTGACAACTGGAATATGCATTAGAAGATGCACGAGATACAAGAGGCACAGGCAAATCATTCACGAGATGAAGGGATGCAGTTGCTCGAGCCTAAATCATTCAGTAAATATGGGCTGAATGAATCAAGACAGTAGGAAGGGAAGGTTCACGAACCTCTAATTAATGAGTGTTTACCTTGAAAATATGAGTAACTATTAAACTTGATTTGTGATTTTAAAGATATGTGATTTAGTTCAATACCAATTAATAATCGAGAAATATGAAGTAGAAATGAAAGAAACAAGTGAATCAAACCAATGTTACTCACCAGTAGTGACCTCGAGATGGATTAAGAGTAATAAATGTAAAAGCGATTCTGATGAACAGTAGACAAAAAGTAGAGAGTATATTATTTTCTCAATGATTAGATGATCTTTACAAATGATTGGGGTTCCCTTTATATAGGAGAGGGGCCCTAAATAAGGTATATTTCTATTTACAGTAAGGAATATTCTTGGTACAACTGTTTAACCGCCTACTACGAAATCGTACAATCCTATTCCGGGATTTGCGCCATGATCTTGGGGACGTGGTAGAAATCTAGCGCATTCTGTTACAAATCTACAACGGTACTATTTTTGGGGTCGAGCATACTTGGCCTTGATATTCCTCGTACTCCAATCTCCGGGCATTGCACTCTGTCTTCGAGCTCGAGTCTGGTCCACCGGTCTCGAGTTCAACCTCGCCCGGACATGGGCCTAGGACGGACCCTCGAGCCTATAAATCGGAGGCGTATGATTTTGACCGTATACAGATAGTCCCCGCATTTCTTATAATAAGATGATAAGAAACGATTTGAACCTCGATCCTCCGGAGTCTATAATGATGATGTCATTCTCGTGACATAGGCACTCGAAGTGACTAAAACGTCCCGTCAGTTCGCTTTCCCAAATCATTAAATGCATGCTAGTACTGGTCGGCCACTAGCGCCGCCAAACCGTCGTCGCCCTTCTATAAATATGAGGCTATTCCTTTGAATAAAGAACTTTACTCTTTCATCTCATCTTTCACTTCTTCATCTCCTCTTACAATCATCAGTTTCCACCGCCCCTTTAAGCACCAGAAAGCACCAAGTTCTTGTAAAACACCACATTCTACCACCGTCTGTACCCTTTAGCTTAGAGTCATGGATATAGCTTCCAAATTAGTTCCCAAAAAAGATAAAGTGTCATCTTCTTCTACATCCTGGCCGGCCAAACTGGTGGTGTCACTGACCCTTGAAGAAATCACCCCCGGCCCTTGCGTGATTAAGAAGGATTTCAATATTGAAAATCCCCCTGATGTCCCAGGCCGATGCGAGCATGCATCTCGATACATCAGTTTGATATCGGGGAAGTACCTCGAAGATATGAAGAAGGACTATGGCTGGGGAGATGAGGTCGTGGTTCAGATCCAGGGCCCCGAGGAGAGTATAACTCCCCATGTGGAGGGATTTTTAAGTGTTTACACTTATCACTTCACGTTGGTTCCCCTCGATCCGATAGTGATCAACTTCTGTAAAACATAAGAGGTCACCCTCGATCAGATCCATCCCTCCTTCTGGCGCATCGTTATTATGTTGCGCTACTTTTTCAGAAAGGCCGAGGGGTTGGATTTCACCCTCAGCCATCTTATTCGGTTATACCGGCCCAAGTTGTTCCGAAGGCTCATCAAGCTACAACGTCGGATAAAGAAAGCCTTCTCTGATAGCAATGATGAAGAAAAAGATCGAGGCTGGATGAGCTGCTTTATCAGAGTAACGACTTCGGATGTCATCCCCCGGGACAAAATGCCGTTCCCGGAGAGATGGAATTTTAATCGTAAGTGGAGTCCCTCTTCCCAATATCCATATATACTCTGCTTCCGCATCTCATAACATTATTATCTTTTCTGCAGTTGTTGCTTGGACACCTCACGCTATTCCCGACCTCGAGGACTGGGTCCGAAAGTTGGCCGCGATCTCCTCTTATGATGGGCGCAAATGACGTGATTTATCGAGGGGCAAATGGGAGGTCAAGCATCATGGTAAGTGCTTTCTCCATGTTCCAGATTTTTTTCATTTGATGGCGTTAACTCATTCATATTTACTTATGCAGGCCTCGGAGATGTCTCCGAAATAAGGCCAGCCC